TTATTATTTTATATCTAAAATCCCAACCTCAGAACCTTTCACTGAGTGAATCGATTTTGATGATCCCTTTTTTATCTGAAAGCTGGTGCTTCTCGTGTTACCCACATAAAGTTAATCAAGATCTGGCCAGTAGTTGTTGAGTTATCTTTAATAATGCATATTTAATTGACTTCGAATACATTGATGATGTTCTCATTTTAATAATATTGAAGTCGGTTGTACAAAATTTTTAAGTTTACCACTTGTCTTTTCTTCTTCTTTTGTTTAATTATTGTTTTTGTGTACACAAATAATAATGAGAAATCTGTCTATTTATATTTATTTCGCATTTTGAAGTCGGAGAGTTTTAATTATCGTATACACTATGTCTTAGCACCGATTTCAGAATGTGAAAGTATTTTATTCGTTCTTGTCTGGTCTTACTTTTTATTAAAAATTTATTTTATACATAGAATACTATAATACATACATAATAGAACGGGGGAGTGGGCGGAGCCCGTGTAGCCACTAAAATGTCACTAACACGTCAATTCACATGTATAAATATCAACACGAGATGTGTTTTAACGTTACAATCGTTTCCAAATTTCCAATGTAAATTATTTAGAAAATTCCAAATTGCTCGCTATTTACAAATAAATATGTATTAAAATCCGTCTGTCAACACAGCGAATCGGGTTTGTAGTGTGGATATTGCTTGTATGTGTACTCCCTGCCTATCGTCGTATAAAATAAGGTTGACAGCCCTTCTATTGTGTATTACCCATAGTATTCTATGATTTTATACGTACTTGTTCATGTTATCGTCTGGTGGGGACGTAAGAGAATTCAATAACTAATTTAGTTCCGTCTGTGGTAAATCATGTCTCATGGAATATCATCATCATCGTTAGAAACTATCGATTTCAACTGCTGGACATAGGTCTCCCATAGATTGCGTCACAAAAGCCACGCTGCAGCTATTTTATTTTATTTTATTTGGAAGACCAACAGCTATCGTAATTAGGATAGATCGTACTAATAACAACAGTAAGCCAATTAAAGATCCTCACTAATAGATACAAAGGTGAATTTACAACAATGATAAACACGATTTAACACTCGAAAGTATCTAATACAACATATTTATGCCAAATGAGGGCTAAATTTGTATTATACATATAAAAGGCAATCAACTCATATTTAGAACAGTCAATAACACTACAAGCTATTTTTAACAGAAAAATAAACACAGAAATAAAAGTAAATCTTACTTAGAGCTACCAAAAAATGCATTATTAAGTATGCGCCTAGCTGACGCAGCACTAGTGTTAAACAAATCGAAGTCAAACTCATTGGCTAGCTTATTGAAATTATTGCTCGCTCGCCATATAAGTGTATTTTGCCTATAATTTGTAGATGCAAACGGGAGACTTAAAATTTTATTGTGTCTAAGAGGTTTGGCAGGACAGCTAACGCTATATTATGGTTGTAGCACGAATAGGTCGGCTCGAACAACGTAGGACCACGCTCTCACGGAATCCCATCCTGTGTTTCGTTTAGTGAGTGTAGAGAACAGGAGATACTTTTTACTGGAAGTAAGGCATTCCATCTTAGTCCTCAGGGGTGACAACGCTCCGCATTTTGATACTTAAATGAGGATAAATGTAGATGTGTATCGGTAACAGGATCCACTTACCGTCAGGTTTTGTTTTTATAGAATAAGGGTAAAAACCGAGCACACAGTCCACTTGATGGTAAGTTAATGCTGTGGCCCATAGACCTACAATTATCCTCGATTAACATAACGCAAATAAGTTGTCACCCCTGAGGACTAAGATGGAATGCCTCGCTTCCAGTAAAAAGGGTCTCCGGATCTCACTGTACGAAACACAGCAGCATTACGCTTAATTTTACGCTGGTATTCTGTAACAGTGTGGTGTTTCCCCGGTCGAGCCGACCCATTCATGCTGCAACCATAATATAGCTGCAGCGTGACTCTGCCACGTATAAAGGTGTTTCTATGATTTGAATGAATTTTTGCAAATAATAATTAATTTTAAAAATGACATAACTTTATTGCATTCGATTTTTTATTTATTTTATTGACATGCTTTATTGAAGTTTAAATTGTATTTAATAATTAATAACATTTAACTATAAATTAATACAATATATATTATATAAATTGAAATTGCTATGGTTCGTGTACTTGAGTGGTGATATGGTGAGTGTAGAGAACCGGAGACCCTTTTTACTGTAAACAAGGCATTCCATCTTAGTCCTCACGGGTGACAACGCGTCTGCATTTTGATTTGTAATCGATGACAGATGTAGATGTCTATGGGCCACAGTAAGCACTTACCATCAGGTGGACTGTGTGCTCGTTTGTCACCATTATTGTATAAAAAAAAACTCTTGACGCTCCAAAATTGTTTTAATTCTTTTTAAAACTTATGTCCTTCTATTGATTTTATTTTGCTTGGCAAGTGATTATGCACTTTGACGGCCATATATGCCGGACGGGGGATTTGCAGTTTCATTAAGTCTCATGGTGTCACAGTCATTATGACTAGAAATGATAAGACAACACGCGAGTTAACGGCTCTTGAAATTTGATAGAGATACAATGAATTATTATTCAGTGAGAAAGTTATGTATATTGCAAACTGTTCTAAAACTCCACAGGTCTTTACCATTTAATTATAATAATCTAAATAAAAGAAGAAACAGGTTTATTTTAAAATTGCAGAAAACTAAAACAAAATCAGCTAAACGACACTACAAATAATAAAATAAAAACTAAAATAAAATTGGTTGCAGCCACAGAAGATTTTCTCGCGGTGTCAATTAGGCTGTATGATATGAATTTTACAACCGCTGGTCTATGCGACAGTTGTAATTATGTATATCTTTGTTATATTATCTCTTCCATATTACCTCTGTTCTTAAATATTAAAAAACTTAATTTAAAATGTTTTCAGGTCTAGTTCCCTAATCTAAAAATTATGATTTATAAATTTTTCTTTTGTAAATGTTAATCTGGATTTAAGGAAGCTCGAAACATCCAATGTATAGTATGTAAGCATCATGAAAGGGCGGAGCTGCCTGCTACAAGTATATATATATATATATATATATATATATATATATATATATATATATGCTTACTAGGCAGCTCCAACAATGAATATTGTATGGATATACGTTTTTTGATGAAATAAATATATTTTGATTTCGATTTTTTTGAAACTGTATTAGTTAACTGCTGTGGTCAGTGAGCTACTCGTACCTTGATATGGCTGCACATTCAATTTCAATACATTTCAGTGTCGTTTTGGTGTCTGATTTTTGTAATATCGCATTATATGTTTCATTGAGAAACGCGATTACCAAACTGTGCGCTTACTTTCATTTCTCGTTACGTATTTTTGGTTAGCAAATATAAATGTATTGTCTCCGTTTGGAGTTTAGTCATCTTAGAATTAGCTGTAGCTGTCACAATACATTTGTTGTGTGTTGGAATTATTAAGATCTTTCTAAGATTTTTTATTACTGATATTAACACGTTCCGGGACACTTGACTATTTGCAAATGTCATGATATGACACTTCAAAATCCCATACATTTTATCGTATCGTCTACAGCCGTGCTATCATATTACATATATTTTTAATTTTTTGATACGACAAATACGGCCACAGACGTTGACGCCTATGGGCGGAACGTCGTACCATGACTAACCATGAGTAATGTAATGAGACAGTGCGGCTACAGACGGTACCGTCTATAGGCGGTTTGCCATATTACATACATTTGAAAAGGTTTATTTTTACGGAACGCTCTAAGGCGCTAACGCCTAAGGGCGGCCTGTCATAATAGGTTTATCTTTAATGTAATTACCTATAAGGCAACATCGGCGTTGGGCGGGACCGCCTTTAAACGTTTTGTCATTCCATGTAGACGGATTGATAAGCTTATTGACAATACTGAAATACGCGTACCGCCTAGAGGAGGTCTGTCATAAAATTGTTATTTCTAAAATTGTTATATGACAGTTACGGCCCTTGACGTTATTGCCTTTCGAACAACTTAGGTTCTTTTATAATGTCATCTACACTAAACAGGTAAGAAAATAATCAAAACTACATAAATCAAACTTGTACTTTAATTGTCTTTGACAGTAATCAGTCTTATTATTCTATCTTAGTAGTATCTAGTCTTATCTTAGTATTCCTTTAATTGACATCCTTTTAATAATATTAAAGTAACCAAAGTAACTTAAGAAGCCATAAAAAAACTTTAAAAATTACTAAACAAAATACAGAACCTCTAAGTTTAAAACTTACAACATATTGAACAGAGTTTCTTCTTATCTAAAGTAATTCTTATAAAAGGAAATAAATAATCCAATTATTGGTGTATGCGAGTATTAGAAATGGTGATGATGATGTTGTGACCAGGATTAAGACAGGAATGCTTCGGTGGTTTGGTCATGTAGAAAGAATGAATGAGGAAAGAGTGACAAAGCAAATTTATATGGCAGATGTGAACGGCAGAGTCGGGAAGGGACGCCCTAGAAAAAAGTTTATCGACCAAATTGGCGATATTTTGAAAAGGGGCCACGTTAGAAGTACCCTTAACCGACGAGCATGTATGCGTAGATATATGGATGTAAAGGAGGCGAAAGAGGTATGTCAGAATCGTGCCAAATGGAAGTCCGTAGTCTCTGCCTACCCCTCTGGGTGACAGGCGTGAGTGTTTATGTATATGTATGTATTAGAAATACTGTGCCAGGTTTCAAAGCATTCTGGACATAGTAGAGGAGATTTGGGACAGCCGCTGCATCGGCAACTTGTCTCCCTACGTCTTTTTGGCTCCTGACTTAGGCAAACTCTACAGTTTAGAAAATAATACTTCTTTTTCGAATTTTCATGCGCTGCAATGCGAATTGGCCAATGACCAACGCCTATTCCTGGCGTTGAGGTGCTTGGTTCAGGAACTTTTGGTGGATATCTCTTTCATGCGTCAACTGAGACAAGGTCTTTCCCAACCACATCACCAAGTTTCGTAAAACTTCTTATCAAATTATCTCTGTATTCAACATATCCGTATTTCTTGACATTATTCTTTATAACATACTTTTTGAATAAGAAGAATGCGTTCCAGGCAGCGACATCCAACATGTGAAAAATAACTTTTTTGTACCATCTTATCGTCTTCCGAGGACAAGAATAGTAACTGATCATTTGATCAGCACGATCAATGCCTGACATGAAGCTGTTGTACCGAGCTATTTCTTTAGGTTTTTTGCGCTTTCGCCCACATCTGTTGGTAACTTCAATCATCTCAGGTTGATCCAAAGTTGTCAACATCAAAACTTGCCGTTTATCTTTCCAATGACTCACGTAAACCTTGCCTTTTCGTAGCCAAAAATATTCACCTTTTTTCAGTTTTTTTTTTGCTAGAAGTATTGGGTTACCCTTTCGATTACTTCTCAAGGTCCCGTATGTGTTGACACGTATGTGTTTTCAGGTCAAGAAGTTTCTCAGAGAGAGTCACGAAGTTATAAAAATTATCCATGTATAATTCACGGCCTTTAAGCAGATAAGGTCTGATTAAACATAAGACAAGTTTTTCAATGGGTTTTCCACCCGTGTTGGATTCATCAACGTCTGCTTTACCAGAATACATTTTTTGGTTCAAAACATATCCGTCATGAGAAGTTAATACATAAAACTTAATTCCGTACTTGGTCTTCTTGTTCCGCATATGGGTAAGGCCGTAGATTTTGCCACTTAGTAACATAGAGTAACATAGACACTTTTATATTACGGTAACATAGAAGTAACGCGAAAGTAACGTGTAATGTTTGTAAGGCCGATTGCATAACGCGCTATTTTTAACCGACTTCAAAAAAGGAGGAGGTTTCGACGCATAAGCTAACTGTACAATTCGCCAACTGTGAGAAGTTCAGTGATAGAAAAAAAAATAAGTTGAAAAATGTTTAAAACTATCAACAGCTTAGAGTTATTACACAACCATGAAATCTGACCAAGTTTACCAAATATCAGGAAAATAATACTACGATATAAGTGAAGTAACAAAAATATTTAATGTCATGGATAGAGTTTCACAAAAACTCTTCTAACGAAAACAAAAAAAAAAAAACGAAATAACATTCATTATAATATGATTTAAACTTATAAAATAAGCTACACAATGAGATCAATAGTGTTTCGTGAAATCACAAAATTAGAACAATATAATCTTTCTCTAAAAGTTTTTACAATTATCACACGGGTTATCTTCTTAAATAAAATAGTAGGTACATTTCTAGGAAACTAACTAATATTGGTATTTATTTTCTTATAAAATTGACACGAAATGTTTCTTAGAATCTGTAGTTAAAAATACTTTAGAAATACGAGTAGGTAATTACAACAAATTTAAAATTAAAAAAAAAATCTCGTAGCCAAATGAAATAACATAAATAAGTAAAAACAAAAACTACATAATTCTCTTTAACCTAGGTACAGACGCGAGAACATCAACCTACCCCAATCTGTCAAATTTTCTCAATCGAACATGAACCGTCTACTTTTGTGGTAAAGTTGAAAATCTATTAAAGAAATTTGACAGATTGGAGTGGGCTGATGTGCTGACGTCTGTACATAAGAGGTCATTGCAATACAAAACCTTCCTTACACCTTATAAATAAATATTCAACAATTAAAATAAACCAAATCAATACTCTACTCTCTCTACTCAGGTAATATTCTTTAGAGGCTTTCTCCCGTTGAATCAAATTTACCTTTTTGACGATAGAAATATTGGTCACTATATCAATATCTGATTTTCTTTGGACTACAAATTCACGGAATCAGATAAATCCTTCACAGTTTTCAAAAATTTTACTTTATAATAATTTTCTCCGTTTTTAAATTCTATATTCTCAACAAATCCTATAAAATATTTCCACGTTTTCCTTTGGAAATATCGAACTATTATGCTATCAACATAACATAACAAATTTATATTTAAAATAAAGTTCTGCGTATTTTCTTCACTCTCAATTGCTTTTTCTCCTTCTTCCTTTGTATTCGATTCCTTGTCACTTTCATCTTCTTTTAAATTCTCAGATTTGTTTATTTTATCTAAATCTGTTTTCTCCATTTGTTTATATTTATCTGCGTCTTGTAAAACTTCACCAATATTATTTTGTCCTCTCATGCTTTCAAGTTGTTTTTTATATTCAGTCTCAATTGTATAATTTTCTTTATTTTCATCAGCTTCTTTTCTCTCTTCTTCTGCGATAACAATTAGAATTTCCTTGCTTTCATCTTTCTTAGTACATTCAATCTCAATTTTGTGCTTCTCTTCTATTAGAAACTTTTCTTTCAAATTCTTTTTGATCTCTTCTTTGGTATCATTTTTGTTTTCCCTGTTCTGGTCGATTTTTCTTTTATCAGTCTCAATTTTGTTACTTCTTATTTCCTTTATCGGGTCTTCTTTTCCAAATAAATAACTCTCTCATAAATCATAACTTGCAGTATTTTCCGGGTTTTTTCTTATTTTTGACAAAATTGTCACATCATCTTTCCTAGTAACATGTTGCGTAGTTTCGCAAAATCTTTTATGGATTAAATCTTCATTTTCACAAATTATTTTTCTTTTCCTTTCATGTTTAGGATTATTTTCAGCATTAGGTTTCTTTAAAATTATTGTGGATAGCAGAGTGACTTTCTTGTTTGGATTAATTTTTGGCCTCAGAACACCTGTTTTTTCGTCAAGTTCTGTGATTAGATTGTTTTCATCGTCGTTAAAATCTGGACTTATTGACTCATCAGAAAAAAACGCCGAGGCGTCGCTTTCCGCATACTCAATACTATCATCATATTCATCTTCTTCGGTTGATGAACTGAAACGCCTTCGCCTAGTTTTATTGCTATTCTTTGAATTTTTAACTTCCTTTTTCTTTTCACATTTTTCTTGTTTATTCGATGTGTGTTTTTCGTTTGCGTAAATAGTGGGCAAAAAGCTAGGAGCTACAGGTGAGTGACATTCACAGTTGCCTCTTGTTTTCAGTTTATTATTTTTTTCACAATGTTGTTATCCAAAACTTTTCTCAAAACATTCTTTTCGGTATTGTTAGCAGTTTGGAATTGTAATTTTAGTGACTTCGTTAGTACATCGTGTTCTAGTAGTTTCTTATTAACTTCTTCTTTTTTGGGAGTTTCAATGTTAGGTATGTTATTATTTATGAACTCTGTTACTTCTTTCATCGGTGTTTTCTCTTCTAATTCTCGCGTATATGTGTCCTTTGTTTCATCTGTCGTGATTAATCTAGTTAATAAATTTTCGTAATCTGCCTGCATCTTGTCTCTTTTCTTTTGTTGTCTATTCCTTTTTTTTCTGAACACTTTTGAAACCTTTAGTCAATGTGTTTAACTGTAATCTCAGTTGTGCAGTTTCTTGTTTCAGTCTGTATTCAATTTGGCGTTGCATATTACGGCAAGTTAATTGGTTATTATCTTGCTTGGAGTTTGAAGTATGTGACGTACCCGGTTCATTTTGTGATGCCATTTTTGCAGCTTTTGCTTTTTTCCGATCTTCCTTCCATTTATTCCGTAACTCTTGTTTGTGCTCTTCAGTATAGGTACTCTTTTTTTCTCATAGTAACGTGCAGATCTTTCTTTGGCCTTCTTTTGTATTTCTTCATACTTTTGAGGGTTTTCTTTTTTCAACTTATCGCGATATTTTTTCTGCTTTTCAGCTGAAGTCGTCGGCGGCATCTGTGACAATGTTTATATTGTTTTATTGTTAATCAGAAAATTAAAGGGATGTTTAATACATTGACTAAGGTTCACACTACCCGCCTCGCAACACATTTTTTTGTACGTATGTGTATCTCTCTTTAACGCTAATCGACATCCTTTGCTAGAAAGAGAAGACAGTTCGCGCGAATATCGAAGTAAACATTAAAAAAGTAAACACAAACTTTTAAAAAAATACGTGGTAAACTGTTAGATTTGGTTTAATTTTTAGAAACAATTGGCATCGATATCCTTAATTGTTTTTCACATTTAGAAACTTTAAAGATTAAACTTTATTTTTTTGAAGTCATTTTTTACTTTTTTTGAGTTTATTTTATTTTTCCACTTAGTGGCACAAAAATATGGTTTAAAAACCTTTCTTTTTCAGTTTCCACGAATGTCCAAACTACTTAAATGACACAAATTAATTAAGGCAAATAAACTACTCTTGTCTTATGCGTTTTTTGAATTTCGTAAAACAATCTATACCAATAAATAAAAGTATAAGTAGGTAATTAGTAACTGCTTGGAAACCAAATAAAAAAATGCCCTCTGTATATCAAATAAAAAAAATTACTGAGTGAATTTTTCATTACTCTACATGATCAAACCTTAAAAAAAAGGTAAATATTTTTTTACAAAAAAAAGTATATTTAATAAATTACATATGCACAAACCTTTACAACAGTAAAACGTTACGAAACATACAATCAACGTTACCAGTGACATCAAAGCTACATAGAAGTAACGTTAAAGTGCGATTTTTCAGGTTATTAATAGACATAACTCGATATCAAGGTGAATTTTAAACATAGACACATTACCACGCACATATTAGTTACTCGTGCATAATAATATATAATATGTGAATAATAAAAACTGATATTTACCTTTGAAATCGCCAAAATTCACAATTAAAATTCACTGCCGAAACACACGCGTGCACCTTTGACAGACTTCCGACACGACAAGATGGCGTCTTTTTTTAAAAAAAATTGTGCTGCCTGAATACTTAGTGTTGCCAGTGCAATTACAAAACACTATCAAACTGTTTTCAATGCTTTGTAAGGGAAATTTTGGTAACATACAAAGTAGTAACGTAGAAGCAAAAATATGGAACATAAGTTTAAATAGTAATAAATCTATAAAAAAACGCGTTATTAAAGACATGAAAAGCACGATGTAGTAGCTTCCTATTAAGAAATTTCAGATAGTCACAAATTAATTAAACGTTCATTACAAAAATATAAGTTTTATAGTTTAAATGCGCGATTTAATTTTTAATTTAATTTTTCGCACATATATATATGTGCGAAAAATTAATCGACCTCTAAAAAGCATTATAGATTCATCAAGCGATAGGTCCCTATCAGGATAATAGACTTGACGGAAATTGCGAGTCAGTATATCTATAAATCCATTTATTTTATCTGGCCCTTTCGCGTTGAATTCAGATGCGCATAGGCATCGTAAGATTTGCTCGTACCTTCGACCCGACATCTCGTAATTGAAAATAGGATGGTAATATAATGGGTCAGCGTGAGTAAATAGCTTACGATTTTCAGGCACACGAATTTGTCCGGAAAGCATCTCCTCTACATTTGTCTCATGAAAAACTCTGTGTCTTGAATATCTAGTGTGTGGTCGGTTTTGGTTTACTAGTGAGTTACCATATGCATTCGTGCAATTCACTAAATACTCAACAAGGTCTGGCGTTAACAGTAAATCGAAAACATCTTTTTCAGTTGCGGCTTTATTTATGTGCACGCGTGGGCCGGGTAATGTTTGATCGAAGGTAAAATCAAGAATATCGGCAACAGTATCTACCCATCCTGCGTCATCCGGGGCTGAGGTAGTTGGTAATTTTTAGTTGGTAATTCGGTTGCTCATTGACAGTCTCTAGTGTTTGATTTGATAATATATCGGTGGGATTTGGATCTATTTGTTCAGTTTGATGGTAATGACAAGATAAGTGAGGTTTCGGAGAGCTCACTACTCCATCTTCTACGCAGTTTTCTAAGACAGACGGGTCATTGCAAGACCTTTCATCGAATTCCTGGTTCAATATAGAATCGTCCATACTTGATCTCGAACTATAACACAACAAATATATGAATCAAACTAAATTAGATTATAGGTATAAATAAGCTTTATTTACCTTGCTTTCGCTGATGAAAATCAAAACCACACGCAGCTATGCAACGACACGCTGGCGGCGCATACGCCGTGACACTAAGTATCAACATCATTGTACTTGTATGGCTCAGTCTACGTCTGTCGGCGGTGTGACTGTGTTGTTTTGGTCTATGAGCACTGCGTACGTGTGTGTGTGTTGAAAAATGACTCGAAAAGAGTTTACCGTGACGCCTACGGGCGAATGAAGTCGCGTGATGTGACACTAGATCATGTGCTTCCTAGGAATGTTATGAACAAGCAACGGCTATCGACGGCTTTCCAAATTACATGTAATAAAGTTCACCGCCGTTGGCCGTACTGTCACGTAGCAATATACCGAGATAACGTCGAGAGGCGGTCTGTCCCGGAAAGTGTTAACTAGTGGGGAGGTACATGAAGTATCTAGGCCTCAACCTGGACAGTCACTGCGGCTTCGCAGAACATTTCGAGCGACTAGTACCCCGTATCGAAAGGGTTGTATTGTTTTTTTTAAAGAATATTAACAATGCTATAAACATTACTAATGTTCCCCTTAACCACTCGTGGTAAGCTTAAATTGCTTCTGTTACGAGTGGTTCACGCAGTAGTCAAATGGCGGAATCGAACCCACGACCTTTTTGAGCATCCAGCGGAAGATGGCCATACGGATCGTACGAGGATACCGCACTTTATCCTTTGAGGCGGTGACAATCCTATCCCGCTTGCCACCACTAGATATACTGGCGGAGATGGACGCGAGAGTGTACGACCGGATCGGATGATAGTGAGCCAGAAGAGGACGTAAGAGTGAGCCGTAAGAGTGAGCCAGAACAGGACGTTAGTGGAGTGATGGTGTAAGAATATCCACTACCTCATACCTCGTGGGTGTTATAAGGCGACAGAAGGAAACAAACCAGGCGATTGTCAGTAGCGTCTTCCAAACAACAACGTCAAAATTTGTGGCTGCCACCGCGCCTGATGATCGTGGCAACCGTGGCTAATATTCCCTGTGAGGATATCTATGAGGGCGGCATATATTCAGTTGGACTTTTGATAGGCTGTGATTTTTTTTTAAATTAATGATGTTCCGTGAAAAAGATTGTACTGTACAATTATTAATGACTTGATTGGATCCTGCAAATATAAATTTTGTAGTTATAAAGTCAACTAACTATTGGCTTTCAGAAATAAATGCTATGCAAATTTAAAAAAAAAAATCATATTACGAGTGATTTTTGACAGATAGAAGGTTACAAATGCGTTGAATCTCCTGAGGACTTTGAAGAACGTACTATAATTACACTAACTCTTATAATTTTTGGGTGAAGACCTGGGTCAGAGCTATTCCAGGCAAAAGTGAGCACCCAGGATATTAGAATAGAATACACTAGGATCATCTTTAATCAATATAGATTACAAGATTATTCAATAAGAGTCATTTACGATTGGCCATCGGTTCAGAAAAAGCTCTGGAAGTACTAGCAGACTTTTGTAACATTAATTTATAATGTCATATTTTATACAATAAATCATGAACAAAACATTTATAAATAGCATGATAGCGATTTCCTCATTGTAATAAAAATAAAACTTGACGACCTCGTTGATCTAGTGATCGTTAACGCGATTGCGAATAATAAGGTCCTGGGTTCGAATCCCGGGTCAGGACAAAATCAGTTATTGGGTTTCTCTGTTAAGAAATTCTCAGTAGCTACTCGGAGTCAGGAAAAAGAGAAAATTGGTGGTGTTTCATCCCCGTGTTTCGGAAAGCACGTAAAGCCGTTGTTCCTGCGCCTGATCTCTCTTCGGTCGTGTCGGATAACCGTACCATCGGGCTATGAAAGTGAGTGAATAGAGAGTGCATCTGTGCTTGCGCATACACTCGTGCACTATAATCCTAACCTGCACCGATGGCTAGTCACCGTTGAAACTGGCCGAAGTGACCGAAACTCGGTCTGGAGGACATTATTATTAACACAAGTGGGAAAAGTAAAAATTTTGTACAACCGACTTCAATATAATTAAAATGAGAACATCATAAATGTCATCACCATCATCATCATTAAAGCCCTTCACAAGTCCACTGCTGAACATAGGCCTCCCCCACGTAACGCCACAAAGCACGGTCCTGAGCCACCTGCATCCATCGACTTCCTGCATGTCTTACCAGGTCGTCACTCCATCTAGTGGGGGTCGCCCTACACTACGCCTACAGGTACGAGGCTGCCACTCCAGAACCTTTTTTCCCCATCGGTTATCGGTTCTTCGAGCTATATGGCGAGCCCATTGCCACTTCAGCTTAGTAATCCGTTGGGCTATTTCGGTCAATCTGGTTTTACTGCGGATATCCTCATTTCTATGTGATAGACTATCACGCAGAGAAACTCGGAGCATAGCGCTCTCCATAGCTCGCTGAGCGACCTTGAGCATCCTCATATGGCCAGCAGTGAAGGACCACTAATTCAGATCTCAGAGTCTCAGATCCGTAAGTCATCACTGGCAACACGTACTGGTTGTACACTTTAATACACTTAGTTTTCAGAGATTGAGGTCTACTTTGAACTAGTTGCATCCGTCAATTGACCTTTCGGTTGAAGTTGGACTTACCTAGTCGGACTATTTGTCCCAGGTAAACGTACTCGTTAACAACTTTGAGCATAGTGCTCCCAACAACTACCGGCATAGGTATGAGATGGACATTAAATATGATCTTTGTTTTGTCCATGTTCATCTTAAGACCTATCCGTTGGGAGACACCATTGAGTTTATTGAGCATAGTGCTAAGGTCCTCCAGCGATTCTGCCATAAGGACTATATCGTCGGCA